TGTCAATAATTTGTAACTGTCTGATAAGCTTGTAAAATGGTACTTATAAAAATAGTGTTTTTCAAAATGATATGAAACAGAGCATTATGTGAGGTATCCAAGAATAAGCTTAAATGGGCCTAACATTACAAAAGGAGAGAGGGTGGAGTTACTGACCAGCAAGCATTGATGGTGAGGACGATAACTTCAATCCACCCATGTTTGTGGGGCAGAACACTTTGTTTGTTTTTAGGCTCCTTATGGTTTTTGATGAGGTAAGCAGTCATTGTTTTCTTACACCTACTATTCAGACTCATGTTTCCAATTTTATGTTGGATTAGCTATTCTACTAAGACGACCCATAACATGTTAACTGGGACTTTTACACTAGAACTGTATGGCTGTCATAAGATGGAAAAATCAGCCAATAAAGGACATAGTCATAAAGTTTTTTTCACTCCACTCTCTTGATGCATGTTGCGTTTTAATAAACAGACTTCTTTATCCTAGCTTCGACTTCCCTTCCATCATTTGGACCCACTCCACCTTGTTAGATATCGTAACTCATTGTTCTTTGTTACTGCATTCTTTCATCTGGAGGCTCTAACCACATTTCACTCCAGCAACAAGAGGTAGTATGGGTTTAATCTGCTAATTTATCATATCTCTGTCTGTTCCACTACAAAATGTTAAGCATTGATTAGCGCTCATATCCAAGTGCCTTTCTGCTCCTTTGTTTTTTCTATTTTTTTACGGTCTTGCTCTCAGGGAACAGCTATTGAGCTTTTGACGCTTGGAACAAACTTGACGTACGTGCCCCCTCAAGGTCATAGTCCACACATAGTCCTCCACAAATCTACTTTGCAACAATTATAAATCTAAATAGTCGTATTGCATAAATACTTTGTTTGACCAGAATTCTAACACAATCACGCCGAGAGTGGATCTGATGTGTAGTGTGGACGCGATGTCACTTTGGAAAAATATTTTAAAGAATGTACTCAGTGTAACACTAAAGCATAAACCCAATCATCAACTCTCCAAGACATCTTCACGAATGTACTGTTACTTACTTTTATTGATATAATCTACTTAACAAACCTACTTGGAAATCATATTGTGAGCCAATAAATGCTGTGATTTGCAGATCATGCCTGTGAAAACGGTGTGTACCTGCCTTTGGAGAAATATATTATTATTATCATACAGTATTTAGGTCACCGCGGAAATATTTGAACAAATTTTTAAAGGTAAATAAATATCTTGTTGAGAGCAATTAATCGGGACTTTCTTAGTTTGTGTAGTGGTGACTTGAATGCGGGATTTATGCAACTTTAAAAAGTCCTAATTAAGTGTACTTCATGCGAGAGGTCAGTTTATTCATCAGGCAGTACAGAATCATGTCCTTGTTTGTCATAGACTTATTTATACAAGCCTTGGTGTTTATAACATTCCGTTCGATTTTAAATGAGCAACTGCTATATAATGACACGTATTGTAACCAGCCTTTGGCATTGGCGGGTAGATACTATTTGTTCCATGCTGCAAAATTACTGTCGTCGGTTTTTCACGAATCAGCATTTAGCCAAGATAAAGATCTAAGAAGTTTTGTTAGTGACCAAAAACATAGATCTGTCGATCGATGTACTGAAGAGGAGTGCTAAAAAACAGAAAGAATACTTTGAGATTGCAATCTCTTTATAAAGTATTCCCTCGTATGATTTTGAGATGATGGAGAAGATTTTTAGCTCAGGTGGGTGATTTTGATGTTGGTTTGTTCTCTGAGCTGGATGGTTTGGTCGTGTAGCTTTCATCGTCCTTCTGAACGGCATCATCAGCACAAACTTCGGGTAGAAGTGAAGTGTTTGAATTTCTCCACATGTGATTCACAGCTTGTCCTGTGTACCTCGATGTTGATTGGTTCTTACTGACCTTAAATAAACAATGACAGATTTAAGGTCAATAAGAACCAATCAACATCGAGGTGTACAGGACAAGCTGTGAATCACATGTGGAGAAATTCAAACACTTCACTTCTACCCGAAGTTTGTGCTGATGATGTCGTTCAGAAGGACGATGAAAGCTACACGACCAAACCATCCAGCTCAGAGAACAAACCAACATCAAAAAGAAGTATTCCCTCTCAATCAGGTATCCATTAAAATCTTTGACGTCAGTTTCAGGAAGAAAACTCTACTATCCGATTTGTCGAACTGCATGGCACATTGAGTTTTTGGAGCAAAATTTGTTCATTTCTATTTAGCAATGAGTCGTACAGAAATCGTATCGGTATACCAGTGAGATGAACACTCTACAATTATTTAGGCAGGAACTACTACCAGTGGATATGTTATAACATACATTAGTTTAGAACTAAACAGAAAAGCAGTGAATGAGTCGGGGTGAAATTTCTTGTAATACGACACATTATAGAAAGACTAATGGTAGAGAATTTCTCTCACCAAAATTGTATCCGTTTGCTGATAATATATGCTTCAAATGGGTCAAGACTGGTCAAAGCAAGGCCTTACGCTATACTTCTGTTGGTTTCACTGAATCTCATGACTGATCAAATGCTTCGGCCTTGACTACTGGCACTGGTGCTAATGCTGAAAAATGCTTTCTACATTTACAACCTCTAAAGACTGACGCTTTGTACAAAGTTTCTGGCTATCTGCTTTTGGTGGATCAAATCATCTGATAGTTAGCTGACAGAATCACGTCCCTCACTTGCCAGGAACAGTTACTTTGTCTGAATAGTAACTAATTTTGAGTTCTTTGACAGGTTATATGGACGGTGTATTTTAGGTATGATTGTATGAATTCTTTTTGAATAACTTTGTCAGCTGTATAGCATTCTGGTTTCACAGGTGTAAATATTGTACAGTAATTCATATATATAGTCCTGCTGATCGAAATCGTACCCAAATCAGACATTTTTTGTATTTACTGATGGAAAGGGACAATTAATCACAATTTTACTGGAGACTTACATAATTCAGACTACATCACTTCGGACATCACACAAATCATTTCATGATTTTATTGTCTACACTGGAAGTGATAGATAGATTAGTTTGACTAAAAATGTCAGGTTATGTGGTGTTTCTGCTGAGCAATAATATATTTGTGAACTTTTATTCAGTATGTGAAAATATAATACATCTAGACCATCTAGTTCTGTCTGGTTTTAAGTGGACATTTCTGGGAGTCACCAATTGGTATTAGAACATTGTTTGGCTTCACTGTACATCATCCAATCATCTAGGTAATTGCTAAATCAATCATACTTATCCCAATAACCTTCAAACTACATCGGTGATAAGTCATTTTATTTAGGATTTAAGTGGTATAAGAGCAACTGAAAAAATGTGATTCCAAACGTTTTAAAGTCCAATGAATATATACAGAAGTTACCTAAAATCTACTGCATGCACAATTTATGACATAGGAAGTCAAAAACAACACATGTTATCTTCAGAAAAGCGTAGCGCAGCACGTTTGCGGAAAAGCGACAGTTAATACAAATATTGAGAACCATAAGTAACGAAATTAACATCCCTTTTAAAATAACTCCTTTGAATGCTCCTCTTATCCACCAAGCGGATGATTCTATATGCAGTACACTATGTTTATGAATTGCTAGATTCTAATAACGTGATCAAAGCCATTGAAGTTCCTGTTTGAAGTATAATAGGCCCAGAGATGTCACGGATTTTCCAATGTTCTCATCAAAATTCCTTAAAAACATACTTCTGACTGTCGCGATGGGATTAATCAGTATAGACAACAATGAAACTTCCGAGTAAGAGCTTATAGATAAGGCAGTCATATCATGGCAAATCTACAATTTTGGATTAGGTCCATTATTCTTGTAAAATAGATCAGTAAACTTGCACCGAATTAGGCATTGCTTCCATTAACCTTCAGTTAGGGATGAACGGCTCCATGCTTGCACCTCATCAGAGAATATCAGACACATATTATAGTTGTACACTACAAGTCGACTCGTTTGTGGTCCGAGGCAGGGACTGAAGGTTCTGGAAGTAGCATTTCAGTGATCTACAAAATATTAGATCCACATATGTTCAGTCGTACTATAGTAGCTGGGAAAGAACTCGTGCTTGGAGGTTAATAAAGAATATGAGCACATATGAATGTAACGGGTCCCTAACCCTCGTTACGAACTCTAAATTGAAGAGTAGTCAGGTCTTCGTTGGGAGCAAACCCAACACTTCACGTTGCTCCACAACTTCACATCATCGACAGAGGCAGGAATTCCAGAAAACACTTATTAGCCCACAACGTTTATTCGGGCTGAAAAGAGCAGCAGAAGCATAACTGAACTCCACGGCACTTCCCTAAAGTATTAAGCATTTTAAAGAAACAAAAAATTTACGCTGGTAAACTGTATGTGACTGTGAAGACAAAACCAACACCACCAAACCAAACAAAAAGGTGAATAAAAAAGAAATCACGTTCGAAAATTTAGTGTTAACTCAGGAGAAAATAGGCCAAAATAATGACTATTTCCCCTGCTTTGGGGGAAAAAGTGGGAACTATCCCAAAAAGTGTAGCTTTGCGGAGATCATATAAAATTTGATACCTTCAAGTCAAAAGTAGTGTTAGTTTCGTCCACATTTAATTGGAAAAGATATTTTACCCACCAACATACGATAAGGAAGAAAAACAGACTGGAACTCACACAATCTTTTTCCTTTATATCTCCTTGCTGTTTGTTTGGGCTGTCTATATGCTTAAATCCATTGACAAGCCAAAACTGAGTTTTGAAAGACTGAAAGATCTAGGTAGTTTGCGGCTCACAACATGGACAATATTCTTTCGATATAATTATGTTCATCTCTCAATAGGGATTCATGACACGAAAGTTTCAATGAAGCACACATTATTTTACAGTAACTGAATGTCGGATTAATTTAATAACAGAACATTTGTATATAAACGTTTGGTTCACTGAAGAGGTCACTCACTCACTATAAAGCGACTGAGGGTTGATCATTGCAATCTTATAAAGGTAACGTTACATTCCTCGTTACTGTGTGGCGCTTAAATTTCAAGTCCTATTTATCATAGCTACAGTGTAAATTAAGGACAAAACTAGTCTTTATTATTATTTTCAAGGTATTAGAGACTGCAAAATAATTTGACGGATCGTTTGTCACTTGACAGTTTATAGTAATTGTACATTTGTACTTATCTTTGTTTGTGCTCATCTGATGAACTTATTATGAAGTGATACAGACACGATAAAAGTCCAGTCTTTCGATGTTTACCCTCGGTTATTCAATACGTTCATAATTTGAAGGGATTGACTAGAAAACCTAGATTATAGGATGTGTATAACTCATGCTGTAACTCCCCTCATCCGTCATCAAAATTAATGACTCAGGTTTGTAGGCCAACCTCCACGAAATCACAGAGGTTTGGGGGTTAAATGGTAAACCTTTGCATCCCTAAAAGAAATAAAAGATCCTGGTGGTTTTGATGGAGTTGTGTTCTCCGAGCTAAATGGTTTGATCGTGGAGCTTTCATCATCAGCACAAACTTCAAGTAAAAACAAAGTGTTCGAATTTCTCCACATACGACTCCCAGTTTGTCCTGTAAATCTCCATGTTGAATGATTGACCTTCAACCCGTCATTTTTTACTTCTTTATTTTTTTATTTTCCGTCGATTTGATTTTCGGTCCTATATTTGTTCTTAAGGTTTCTTATTGGTTGATAAACTGGATCGATTTCGATGTACTTGTTGATTGCTAATTGATCTGAGTGTCAAGCTTCCAAAATTTCTCTCCACGAAAAGCTAATGTTTTTAGGACTGCCTTTATTCAAGATCTCAACATTTTTTTCGTTTGAATGTGTCCACATGCTTTGATACAAGCGAGGACATGTCATGGCGTTTGACCGCCAATTGATGTTTGTGCAAGAGAAGATGAAGAGAGGGCCCGATTTGCGCGATATAGTGTTTTTCGCAGTTGAGGCAATTTATTTTGTAGGTGATGTTCGGTTTTTGTTATTTTATCATCTCGTCCTTTGGTATGCATTGGATCGGTGGAAGTGATTTTTTGGTTTGTGTGCTACACCTATTCCAAAAGGCTTAAACAATCTCGTTGTAGTTTCTGATATACCTCTTATATATTGTAGGACGACCCATTTGTTGGTTCCTGTACTTGATTTTTTTTCCCGCTGATACGTTTGGTTGGTATTTCTTGATGAAGTTGATTGGGTAGCTGTTCTTTAGAAAGGTATTTTTCAGATATTTCTCTTCATTTTTCTGCTCTGCAAGTGTGTTCTCGCCCTCTTGAACAAAATTTGTACGCAGTTGATTTTGCGAGCTCTTGGGTTGTTGCTACTGTAATTGAGCATTTGATCTGTGTGTATCGGCTTCCAATATAATTGTGTCTCCAGTTTTCCTGTGTCGGTCTTGTCGACTAATACATCCGAGGATGGTAGTTTGTTGTTTTGCTCCTGTTCCATTGTGAACGTTGTTGATCAGATTGTGTTTTCCAGCTCGTCCTTTTTGACGATGAATGTGTCGTCCACTTAATGAACCCAAATTTTTGGCTTCTAGTTTCTGCGTCACTGCTTCCGCAATAAGTCCTAATATTGATGATCCCATCAGTGTTCCTTTCGTTTGTTCGTAGATTTTGTTATTGAGTTGAAAATATGTTGTTAAGCATATATCTACGAGTCCCGGTAAACTTTGAAGCTTCATGTACTTTGCGAGATTTGTGTTGTTGGTGAGAATCAAGGATAGAAATTCCTTTGCTAAGCTTGGTTTAAACGAGGTGAATAAGATTATTGCATAGAAAGATATCATCACTTCGTCGTTGATTTGAATATCCTAAGTCTCATTCAGTAATTTTATGGGAGATTTGATGAAATGATTAGATGAATTCACTATATATCTCAATAGTCGTGAAATTTCTCCTTGAAATCTTATGTTGGAGTTCCGGGGAATGTTACAATTGGACGTAATTTGATGTTTGGTTTGTGTATTTTCGGCCTACCGTAAAATCGAGGGAGTATCGGTCTATTGGATTTCATTCTCCATTGATCTTGTTTTGATATTTTTCCTATTTTGATAAGCGTATCTAAAGTCCTTGAGCTTTCGTTGTCTAACCTTTTGACTGGATTTGTGTGTCCATTGGTTTGTATCCGCTATTATCCTCAAGTAGTTTCTCGGTTTTCTTGATATTCTCTTTCCCGTCCATAATTACTGCAGTGAGTTCTTTGTCCACTAGAACTATGACAATATTTCCTCTAGTCCTGAGTTTCTTCAAAGCTTTTTGTTCTTGTAAAGTCAGCTCGGTGTTGTCTTTCTTCCGTCGAGTTATCAGTACTATAGTTTGTCTTATTTCCTATTGAGTTTCTTCACTTATTCCACCAGTTTTGAGTGATGGCTCTAATGCGGCGAATAATTCTAGTTTTGACGCGTCACTTTCCCAATTAGGTGTCCTTCTATCCTAGTGATAAACGTGCGAGTTAGTCGAATGAGACCCAAGCATGTATAGACTGGGTCTTGTTAATATAACATCGCGAATAAGTCATGTTCTGTGACCTAAAGATGACTTATTTTCTGTAAAAAAGTTGTATCGCTGCCTTTAAAAGTACAAAACAAAATGGTAAATTGACCAACAAATCTGTAAATATGTGGCAGCTAGCTTATCAAAGTGATCTACACTCAAAATTCTTCCTCACTATCTTATTTTTTTACTTTCCTAGTTCGGCAACATAATATACGTATACATTTGTAGTTTCTGTTTCTTTCTGAAGTTTTACTTATATGATTAACTTTTTCTCCAGATATTTAAATATCCACTTTCCCACACTTCAGAAGTTTCGCAGTCGTAGCAGCAGCAACAGTTTCTTACAATATATTGCTAATTACCGTTAAGTTACTTCGTTTCTCAAGTTTAACATCCCTCTACTGTCGACGTTTGACAGTGCGACTACCATCAATGAAGAAAGAGTATATTTTCATTCCACAATTTAATCCTGTTGTTGGGAGAATGCAGTGGAAAGATGTGGATCCAAATTATGAATTTAACCAAGAGATAGCTCGATCTGGATATGGTGATATGCTTCATGATTCCGATCGAAATCATAAGTATCGACTAGCTATCGAACACACCATTAAACGTCTTAAACAGCAGTATCCGCAAAATCCTGTCCATGTGCTCGATATTGGAACCGGAACTGGTTTACTGAGTATGATGGCTGTCAATGCTGGAGCTGATTTAGTTACTGCCTGTGAATCCTTTCTTCCAATGGCAACGTGCGCACTAAATATATTACGGAACAATGGGTTTAGTGACAAAATTAACGTTATACCGAAACGCTCCACTGATTTAATTGTCGGATTAGATATGCCCTGCAAAGCTAACGTGTTGGTTGCGGAATTGTTTGATACCGAATTGATCGGTGAAGGTGCCTTAGAAACATACAGACACGCAGCCGAGCACTTACTGACATCCGATGCTTCTCTTATTCCATGTGCTGCCCAGGTTTATTTACAGGTAAGGTAATAGATTTTAAACTGCGAATCTTAAAACCTAAACTTGTCTGATAACGGTCGTAGTTTTGTAGTCACACTATTCGATGTGTTACCTGTGATTAGCTAATGTATTCTATCAGTTAACTGTGGGTAGATGTTTATTACGTTCAACTAGCCAGACATGAATATAAATGACATACCATTCATTACACTTGACATCAATGAAGAGGCAAAACATCATTGGATTTAGAAGTAAACATTGTTTTAGTAATAATAACGAAAAACTATAAGGTAAAAGGCTAAGACCGATTTAAATTCAAAACATAAACCTCAAACTGACAACATTCTCAGTAATTAGAGATGGATAAGAAGTAAAATTATGCACATCGTTTGGAATAACTGTTAGCCGCAATAGTGTTGTTCGCATTGTAGGGTTTAATTTGTCTCAGATATTCTACTAGAACTGTAAGCGCGATACTGGAGACCTCAGAGTCTATGTGAAAGCTATAGTCAGAACAAGGAAAACTTGGCTTTAAACTTTATTTGTTTCTAAACGTTAAAATAACAGTCTGATTATTACAATAATTATAATCATTAAGTGAAACGCACAAACATACCTACCAGTATTGAATGTCTTATCGAAATGAATAAGAATTATGAGTCATACTAATATAACAGGATAATAGTGTCCTTCAATTGGCAGGTTATATGCAACAGCGATAGTCTACGGACACATCAGACCAGATTCACGTAGTGGGCCCCTAAACAACGATTTGATTGGTTAGTTATGTCCATAACTAGCACGCATGACTGTAAGCGATAGATAATATCTTCGTGAATTGGTGCACTAGTTTCTATCGTCTTCCTTTAAGTTTCATGTATCGTCTGGTATCCCTCACATTTTGTTGTTCTAATTGCTGGCAGTAGAATTTTAACCTGAGATAAGTTGCGAAACGTGCAGTCTGAAACCAGTGTGTTGTCAACTCTTAATTTAATATCTTTTTCAGTCAGTTAGCTACAACGTAGGACCGGGCACATATATGCATCGGTCCAAGTTGCCATACCTCATTAGCACAACAAGATTCATAGAAGTAGTTAATTTAATGGTGGTAATGTATAAAAGAAAGATTGCATATAAGGATATAAAACAGGAAGAAAGACAGATATGAAACAATTTTAATCTCACGGTTTCAGGGAAGGCAAAGAGTGTATACACCTACGCCATTGTGGCCGATTCTAAGCCATGTCACCCACAGTCTCCAACCATTGGTTACGATAGTCGCGCAGACCCCAACCAAGTAGTCTGCATCTACCAACATGGCTCAGACTAGAAGTCAAGGACTTTTGGTTTGGCCGCCCCTAACTCTCTTTCAATCATCGCCAATATTATTTGGGGTAGAAAAGTGTTTGTGATGAATAATCAAATAAGAAAACGAGTGACTCTGTATTTCGAGAAATTCCCCTGGAAAAACAAGGCTGTACTAAAAATACAAATGGAAATAGTTCATATGTTTTTTCGTATTGTTCCTAATAAATGAAAAAAATAACATTGCTTATGATTAAGAGATTTGTTGGACTTCCTCAGCTTGATTAGGTTTCACAACTGCAGTGCAAATCATAGTGTTATATGTCAAGTGGAAATCTAGATTTATGGATACCTGTTAACGACAAATGTCAGTTTAAGCATTCTAATCATTTTTTTATTGACGCATAATCGACAAGTTCGGTGTATTTGGTTTGGCTACACTGGGTTAACATCAAAAGCTTCATCTATTGGACAGGCGTTTTCACTCTAGCTAGTGAGTTATGAAAAGAAGAGGATAGAGATGGTTTGGTTTGTAGTATTGAAAACGGTGTAGTGAAGAATTAGCACAACACACAAACGGATCTCTTAAAATATTGGAAACCTCTGTAAGGTATTTATTCCGTACATTTCGTATTAGTGATAAACATCTCAGGAAACCTCTGACATTGAGTTATATAGCAAAGTTGTATCCTAATGGCCAAAAGTAATGTTAGAGTTACAAACACAGCCACTTGAGGCGTAATACATCTATTTCCGTTCAGCTACGTGTTTAAAAATAAAGATTAAGTGAAGATTCAGTACAACTTTACCACCAACATAAAATATGACCAGTTTAAGGCAATGAATAGAACATTTAATAATATTTACACATTGAAGTCTTTGATTACAGATACTTGTAATTCAGTCCACCTAATTATAGATTTACTTCAATATTTTAGCTAAAACTACCCATTGTCCAGTTAAACTATAAACACTAAATACAATAAGTTTAAGTGTTACGTACAGATTTAGAATACCTGGGTTATATCTCATATTTAAAATGATATTGAAAAAGCAACAGTTTAGTAGGCCAAAATATTTCACACAGGTTGAAATCTTCAGTACTGTCTAGCCACTAAATAACCCCCCCCCAAAAAAAGAATAAGAAAAACCTTAGATATACAGTGAATACATGGATTGAAAATACTAAACTTTTTACGTACCACCACTACGTTCACTTCTTTGTCTGCAAGATATATTAATCAAACAATTACATCTGTCTCATTTTTACCAAAAAACAAATCGATTCAGTGGGCGTATCTGTCTTTATTTCAGAGATACCTTACCATCTTGAAACATTCCAGTCTGCAGTCAGTAATGTTTCTATTTTTCCCTTTTTAAACTAGTTTGTCTAAATTTTTTTTACAACTATAGTTCATGGGTTAACTTCTAAGATTTACATCGACATACAAAATATCAAGTTTTCGAGTTGTTTATTATTTAGGTTGTTGAATCTCAATTTCTTTGGTCTCATCATCGTTTATTTCCATTTCAAATTAACATTGGTGATACGGCTATAGATATAAAAGAGTTTCAGCATGCAGAAATCGAATCATGTTCAGGACTTCCATCAACATTTGATATTCAAGTATCAGAGATTCAATTAGAAGATAGTCAATTAGTTTCATGTGATAGGCAGTTGCGCTGTCTTTTGAAGAGTCCTCGATTGGTTAAACGCTTTAACTTTGGACCGCCTGCAGATCTTATTAAATTAAACGATGCGTTAGATTTAGAATGTAAGTTTCTACTTATTTTTAACAAGCCTATTGGTACGTTATTGGGTGTGATGAGATGAGGAATTATTTAGCTTTCTTTTGAAAAATCACATATGTTTCCGGACTTCGATTTCACTTCATACAGATAAAGTTAATAGATACTACAACTTTCATTTTGTTATGATGTAACCAAGTGTTTAAGATGGTTTGTAAAATTAATCCTTCCGTAATTACGTTAAAGTAATACTGTACCAAGGTTCCTTTTTGTCAAGCAACCACCTGTTTGGCTATGAATCCAAAAGTAAGGTAAGGTTAGATTCTAAAACCTTGTGGTCTATTCTTACCATCACTATATTATTTAAATAACTAGGAAAGCTCTGGGATCAGTGCCTGTAAAATGATTATGAGTAATTAGCCTCATAAATATTTCTTAATGTGTCTGTTAAGTCGGCTTACAGTAAACTCTATCAGAGCCTCCAGAAGCTCATAAAGAGCCCCAACCACTTACGCCCGTTACCCCTCGTCGAGGAGTATAGGCCGCTCACCAGCATTCTCCATCCAACTCTGTCCTGAGCCTTCCTTTCCAGTTGCTGTTCATCCTTTTCATATCTGCTATCTTCATCTGCATTTGTTCGTGTGTATGAGAGAGGAGGGCTAGGTCATCTGCGAAGTCCAAATCCTCTAATTGATTCTGAGAAGTCCATTGTATTCCGTATTTTCTTTCAGATGTCGAATTCTTCATAATCCAGTCAATCACTAGAAGGAAGAGGAATGGGAAGAGTAGACAGCCTTGTCTGACTCCGGTCCTTACTGGAAATGCATCTGTCAGCTGTCCTCCATGCACCACTTTGCACTGTAGTCCATCGTATGAGTTTTGGACAATGTTGACAATCTTTTAAGGAACTCCATAGTGTCGGAGAAGTTTCCATAATGTTCTCCTGTCCACGCTGTCAAACGTCTTTTCATAGTCAATAAAGTTGACGTATAGTGATGAGTTCCACTCAACTGATTGTTCAACGATGATCCGTAGTGTCGCAATCTGGTCTGTGCACGACCGATCCTTACGGAATCCAGCCTGATGATCCCTAAGTTCGGCGTCTACTGCGTCTTTCATTCGATTCAGCAGCACTCTGTTGAAAACTTTTCCTGGTACTGATGACAAACTGATACCTCTGTAGTTCTCACATTTGCTCAGATCTCCTTTCTTTGGTATCTTGTTGAGATATCCTGCTTTCCAGTCCATTGGCACTTGTTCCTCTTCCCAGATCTTCTTGAATAGAAGGTGAAGCATATTTGCAGTTATTTCAATGTCTGACTTCAGTGCTTCAGCTGGTATATTGTCAGGTCCTGCCGCCTTCCCACTCTTGATTTGTCTGATGGCCATCTTGACTTCTTCGATCGTTGGTGGAGTGACATCTATTGGAAGGTCAGTGTGTGCTGCTTCGATGTTCGGTGGATTCAATGGGGCTGGTCTATTCAGCAGTTCCTCGAAGTATTCTGCCCATCTTTTCCTCTGTTCTTGAATCTCAGTGATTGTCTTTCCTTCTTTGTCCTTGACTGGTCTCTCTGGTTTGCTATATCTCCCTGCCAATTTCTTCGTTGTATCATATAGTTGTTTCATATTCCCTTCTCTTGCAGCTTTTTCCGCCGTCGTTGCTAGTTCTCCCATGTATTTCTGCTTGTCGGCTTTAATGCTTTTCTTCACTCCCCTGTTTGCTTCTGCGTAGTCTGCTTGTGCTTTGACTTGCTCTGCTCGTGTTCGGCTGTTGTTAATTGCTAGTTTCTTGTTCTTCCTTTCTTGAATTTTGTCCAGGGTTCCCATAGAGATCCATTCCTTGTGATGATGCTTCTTAGGACCAAGAACCTGCTGACACGTTGAAGTTAGTGCTTCTTTTATCCCTTTCCAGTTGTCCTCCAAAGTAGTTTCTTGTTCTTTCAGTAGATCCTGTAGAGCTTGGAACCTGTTGTTGAGAGTTATCTTGAATTCGTGGAGCTTGTCAATATCTCGAAGGAAGGTTGTATTGAACCTTTGTAGTGCTGTTTGTCCAGTTGTTCAGTGCTTCTTTAACTTCAGTCTCATCTTGGCCACAACCAGGTGGTGAGATCCATTTTTTGTGATGATGCTTCTTAGGACCAAGAACCTGCTGACACGTTGAAGTTAGTGCTTCTTTTATCCCTTTCCAGTTGTCCTCCAAAGTAGTTTCTTGTTCTTTCAGTAGATCCTGTAGAGCTTGGAACCTGTTGTTGAGAGTTATCTTGAATTCGTGGAGCTTGTCAATATCTCGAAGGAAGGTTGTATTGAACCTTTGTAGTGCTGTTTGTCCAGTTGTTCAGTGCTTCTTTAACTTCAGTCTCATCTTGGCCACAACCAGGTGGTGATCTGAAGCTATGTCAGCTCCTCTCCTGGTTCTCACATCTTCCATTGATCTTCGGAATTTTTTGTTGATACAGATGTGATCTATCTGGTTCTCTGTGGTTTGGTCCGGTGAGATCCATGTAGCTTTGTGTATGCGCTTGTGTGGGAATATTGTGCCGCCTATAACCAATTTGTTGAATGCACATAGGTTTGCAAGTCTCTCGCCATTTTCGTTTCTTTCTCCTAGCCCATATCGTCCAATTATATCTTCATATCCTGTGTTGTCCACTCCAACTTTAGCATTTAGATCTCCCATCAGAATGGTGAGGTCGTTTCGTGAGCACTTCTCTATAATTGATTGCAGCATTTCATAGAACTGATCTTTATCATCGTCGTTGCTATCATTGGTGGGTGCATAACATTGGATAACGTTCATTGTGATCCCTTTCTTCTTTGCTCTGAATGATGCTTTGATTATCCTGGGTCCATAAGATTCCCGTCCCACAAGTGCATTTCGTGCTTCTTTGGACAGCATTAGAGCAACTCCCTGAGTGTGTGGAGCATTTTCCTCTTCGTGACCGGAGTACAGCAGTATCTCTCCTGTACCTAGCCTTTGTTGTCCAGATTGTGTCCAATGGGTTTCGCTGATTCCGAGTACTGCCAAGTTGTATCTCCTCATTTCCATTGCTATTTGACTGGTCTTTCCTGTCTCCCACATCGTCCGGACGTTCCATGTACCTATAAAGAGTGTTGCTCTGGTTGTTATAAGGTGCATCGGTCTCGTGACTTCCGAAGAATTTCGGCTTTCATCATGAGACGTCATAATTATTCCTTCAACTCCCAGGGCACAGTTTAAATGGTTTGAATTATTTTTTCTGGTTAGCGTTTTTTAGGGAGTTAGCTTTTCTACGGGATGGTGTCGCTAACCCCATGCCCAACCCTCCTCTTTACCCGGGCTTGGGACCGGCAGTAACTCTAAAAGAGCTGCAGGCGGAGTTGGGCCCCAACCAATCAGCGATTAATTAAAAGCTATGCTAGTAAAATAACGAGATCCTGATTGGCTGTTCAACACACTGCTACTATGGACACTCAAGGTCTCTTAATTACTATAAAACCCCTGTATTTTCTGTACATAAATAAATCCTGTAGTAAAGCGCTTCCCACACACTTTGGGCCTTTTCTCTGGTCTTCAAGTCAGTGTATAGTTCTTGCTCGGGGGTATGGAACTAGCTTAGGAAAGCGAATATAGCGTTCACAACCGGCCAGACGTAACAGTGTCATCCAACATAAATTCTTAAAATACTGTGATAGAACTTAACTTTCTGTGGTCTGTAAAGTTAAGAGGCATCAGTCATCACTTCTGTCAGTACGGGATTTTTTATGATAATTAGTTATTTCACCAATCAACTCTCACAGTTTTATGCTACCCTTTCTTTACATGTTCAACTACTGATATCCACGAAACGCCCACACTAATTTCTTAAAACTCACTGTAAATCGTACTTATACGTTTAAACGTTAGTATCCTATATTCAGTAGAACATATAGTCAAAACAATCATTTGTAAATGGGCGTTATATAATATTTCATTATTATCATTTACATGACGTAAGTAACTTTAAGGTGCTCCAGAATTCTGTGGTCTTGGAAGCTTCGAATTGCATTAGACTGACAGATTATATATTTCAGATAAACTGTATGTTTTTATTGCAGTATTCAAGTGAGCTAAGTGTTTCAAATCACTACCATCGCTTATCAAATACTTTACAGCTATTTTCTGTCTTAAAAACATTTTTAGGTACTACTTTTGAATCTGGTACAGCGCATGCATTTGTTGTGTGGTGGTCTTTACAAATGGAGCCTACAAACTCAGTTTCACCGATCAGTGTTGCACCCACTTGGGTAGGAGATCCTGATTCTGCTTGGCGAGATCATTGGATGCAAGCGGTGTATTTTCCCAAGACTGCTCACTATTTAATAAAAAATGAGTCATTTATGATCAGATATCTTCATGATTCATTGTCCATGCGATTCGACATACTTTCTGGTCCTAATTTTAATGCTAAACCTGATACTTCTTCACTTGATGTCCGAAATGAAATGTCCTGCTTATCATGCTCATGTGATCTTCATCGTGTATGGCCCCGAACGCGCATTTCTGAGTTGAATTCGTCGGATTACAAAACATTTTCCACTAAAATCATTAATTCACTTATTACGGTATTACAAAAAAATTCAACTTCATTATATAATGTATTAGTGGTCTCAGATTGTACATATTTACCGTTTTTACTCGGAAAAGTTTTAACAAAACATGTAGAGAAATCTCAGCTTATCCATTTGGATACGTCACCATCATCGTGTTTGCTTTTAGATCGTATTTATGAATCGTATTCAACGTCCCGGTCGATTATAGAGAGTTGCCAATCGATTGAGGAAGTTTTCTCAAGAATGACTCCTAACATTTTCACAAAAACTAACCCGACTGAATCAACTTTAATTTTGATCAGTGAACCGTACATAAGTTCATCAATACTTCCTTGGGATTCTTTATACTTTTGGTATGCCTTTCAGAACTTGCTTTCACATAACCCAGCTTATTCATCTTTGTATTTATTTAGCCCTGTTAGACTGCGCATCTATGCTATTCTGGTTGACTTCAAATATCTTTGGCGCATTCGTTCGCCAGTTGGATTCACTTGTGAATCTTTTGATCTACGCCCTTTTGATGAGTTAGTTTTAGATGCGTCGGCTAAAAGTGATGAGTTAATTGAACCACATCCTCTCTGGGAATATCCTAATACGGCTAGATCGAATGCTTGTGTCATTTTTGAGATGGTTCTACCGAACAGCTCCGATTTGGGTTCAGATTTCCAGTATGCTGATTCTAAAAAGTTAATTCATTGCAAACAGAACACCTTAACTGCATCATCCTCATCGGTTAATGGTATAGCACTATGGTGTGAATGGCTTTATAATACCCCTGCCATACACCAACCCAGCGAAACTTGGTGGTATGCACCAGCTGGTCCCAACAAAATTACAACTTTAAATGAACCTATTTCTTGGAAATCTCGTGGAACACAGCAGGGCGTTTTTCTTTTTCCGTCGGAATGGAAGACTAAAATTTCATCGAATGATTTACTGCGAATTTCTGCATGTATGGATTTTAATATTTCTACAGGAGTTTTGTCCCCATCATTTAAAATATTATGAAGATTCTTTGCCTTTTTTTCTTACTTTGTTATATTTCGCTCTTTGTTTGGTTAAAATCAGTTTTTATAAAAATAAGAAATCTTCCTTAAATCTCCCTATCTCACTCTTATAAGATGACCGGAAATTAAGCTGTAAATATTCAAGACCATGAATAACTATCTAGTCAGTGACGTATTGTTTCTTCCGATTCACAGTTGACTATATTAAAATTGACGCAGAATCTTGTTTACTTTATTTCCGTTCTCCTGCGTCTCATTGACCCAATCGGTAATTTCCTAACCACTTGTTCTTTTTCGCTTTATTTATTAGTAGGGCTTCGTGATCGGTCGCTACTCAATCTCAACAAATCTTAAAGTACATATTCATTGAGCAGTTCACAGTACTCACGTGGACACAATCAACATAAGATTTAACACAAATGTTCATTGTTACGAACTACCGTACAAAAAGAGACAGAAAATCATTAGGAAGAGAAATAGTTATACCAACAGCAATCTTAAAATGTAAGGAGAAATATGCGAGTAAAAACTGCTATTGAGGAGGTTTTTGATGAGAGAAAGTTAAATGGTAATTGGTAGGTGAATGCAACATTACGGTGTGGCCTAGTGTTAGCTACTTATAAGAGCATATTATTTGACCGAATTCGCCGAATAATTAGAAATCACAGACATGAACATCAACCAAGTGGATACATTTTTCTGTGAAACGAAGTAACTTGTTTGTGTATAGGATATCAACAGAAAATAAACATCAGTCAGTCAGCAATAACGTAGAACGTTGTGCGTACGTACATCAGTTCAAGTCGCCATACCACATTAACACAGCGATACAATTGTCGATTTAAATCCCATATTGCTAGAGGTGGTAAAAGTATAAGCAGTAATCGGAAAGATTAGGGTTTGAAGATGTCACTCAAGCAGTATAATCCAGTGAGATAAATTTGGAAAGAGAAAAAAGATAGGGGCATGAAGAATTCAGAAGATTAAAACTTGGAAGAACACAACGAGTGGATGCACCTTCGCCATTGCAAACGATTTTGAGCTATGCCATTCAAGGTCTCTAACCATCGATTACTATCATCTCATGGATCCCAACCAGGTAGTTTACACCTACCAACATGGCTCAGTCCACTTGTCAGTGACTTAGTGGATTTGTGCCACGTTTTGGTCTAGCCGCCCCTAGCTTTCTTCCAACCTACTCCTACACCATAAGACATTGCACGTCGGGGCAGTCGGTGGTTGGGTATACGTAACATGTGTCCCAGCCATCTCAACTGATGAAGTCTGACTACTTTAATTGCGTATTTATTTAAGCCTTTTACATATTTCATTTCTCTATGCCTTTCCAGTATTTAAGGCAATAAGTTAGCTGTGATTGAAACATTACTATTTCAAAAAGAACTGTTCGGAGTTTCTTAATGTTTACTCACTGTCAAAAAATACTCATATATCTATCCTTGGCTGCAAACTACTTTTGTTGATAATTATTCAACCTGAATCGTTAGATCAAAGTATAAATTCTACACATATATCACTTCATTACATTTTTCTGCGTGATGTATAACTTCATTATAGAGATGGGTAGTAGCTAAAAGTGGAACGCAAGATGAGCAACTCATTCTATTTGGGACTCCACCTGGGTGTACCTCCGTCCCAGATTTGATGTTCACTCCGGAACTTGAATTTAGTACTGTCCACCTCAAAAACCATCGCGTTTGTCCACCTAGATACTGATCCCAGATAGCTTCTGGCTTGTGCAAAGGAGTGAAGTCTAATCCATTTGTATTGGTTGTTCGAATCTTTCGATTAATGTTTAGGGCTGCGTATGTTCATCCTGTGCGGAATACCTAGATAATGCCATTGAGTCAAATATGATAAGCAGAGATAAATTGTGGCTAACAATGAGACCGAGAACGTGCGTTTCGTCCTATTTGAAACTTGTTAGCTGGATATACTTGCATGAATTGGAAGAATCAAACAACCGATACAAATGAAGGGATATCTTCAGTTCACAATTTAGTATGCTGATGGTTTTGGTCAATCAACTCAAAATTCTATTTTTATAAGGTTTTTAAGACGTTATTGAAGTTGCTTATGATTAAAATTCATGGTGTTTCTGCTTCAGGGACACTAATTAAAGAATTCTGACATTTCATCATTAATAGTTTTATCGTTTTAAGAAGTGACCAGACTGTGACAAAAGATTATATATTGGTTTATTTTTAATCATCCCGAGAAACTTGTAGATTTGAAATTGATGCTTATCAATGATGTGTATTACAAGTCTTGAAATAAATGCTCCATTGGGTGAAATAATTTGTCTCTTGAAGATGTGGATTTCTTTCTCCGGATATCAGGGTATGGAAACGCAGATAAATAGTAGACTTAATTTAAGCGAATTAGAGTGATTGGCATATTGTCAAGACGCAGCTTTCGACTGAGCCGCCTAAATGATGTGAAGTCAAAGGCATGGCCGCTGATCAGAAGAATAGTCTTTTACCTAGTAAAGAAACATCATTATATACAAATATCAACACCAAATAGTCATGGTGAAATGTCATAATCGATGGAATGAAGTCAGTTTGTAAGTCCCTATCAAATCAATCAAGACCTTATTGTTTGGTTTAATTTTTGGACTAATACATTTACTAACGATCGAAGACGTTGCACATAGTCAGTCATCCTGAATATCAACAGCAGGGTAAAATAAACTCTGACAAAAACAGGGTAAAGTTTGGCCATTGTTATACATCGATCAATGTAGAATAGTATGAAGAAGTAATAATTCTAAAAATCGGCAATAGTTAGAAAAAGTCGGAGTTAGTTACTAAGGTGTCGTTAATCGAATATGTGACCTAAACAAGCGTATTTGATAAAAAGGAGTCCAATAAAAGATATCTGGAAAAATTGACTCACGTAACGAACTTTTCAAGCCTAACCGGTTTACTTGATTCGATTGTAATCAAAAAATGTATTTTGAGAAATATGTCATCTGTTAACCATGAAGGTTTATGTTGCAAAAACAGGATTTTTTAAAGTAGATTTGTAACGATTAGTTTATATTTATTTAAACACATAAACATTGGTACAAGGAGTCGCTAAATATAAATGCACCACGCAAATCATTTGATTTATGTGAGGGCTGGGATCCTGCCCGGGCGCTCAAACCGAAGCTTTTCTTAGGGGATCACTCCCCGAGCTTTTGACCTAGAGGTCTAATCGACAAGGCAGTGAAGCAACGTTAGGAGATGCAAGAACACTAAAATAATCGAACGATTCTCATAAATCAAAGTCCTAAGCAGATAAAATTCCTCCTCTCTGTCTAATAGCCTAAAATTAAATTAGTTCTAATAGAACCAAAAGAAATCTCTTGAATGTGGTTGGATTAGAGATTCATTATACTTACTTACTTACTTACGCCTGTTACTCCCAATGGAGCATAGGCCGCCGACCAGCTTTCTCCAACCCACTCTGTCCTGGGCTTCCTTTTCTAGTTCTATCCAGTTCTTGTTCATTCTTCTCATGTCTGTCTCTATTTCTCGGCGTAATGTGTTCTTTGGTCTTCCTCCTTTCCGTTGACCTTCAGGATTCCATGTGAGGGCTTGTCTTGTGACGCAATTAGCTGATTTCCTCAAGGTGTGCCCAATCCACTTCCAGCGCTTTCTCCTGATTTCTTCCTCCGCTGGAATCTGGTTTGTTGTCTCCCACAGTAACTTATTGCTGATAGTGTCTGGCCATCGGATCCGAAGTATTTTGCGTAGACAGCTGTTGATGAACACTTGTATCTTCTGGATAATGGCTTTCGTATTTCTCCACGTCTCCGCCCCATACAGTAGAACTGTCTTGACATTTGTATTGAAAATTCTAATTTCCGCTCTGGTTCGGCTGGTGTTGATTGCTGCCTTCTTCTTCCTCCTTGCTTCAATTTTATCCAGTGTACCAACAGTGATCCATTCCTTGTGATGGTGCTTCTTTTGGCCCAGAACCTCCTGACATGTTGAAACGATTGCCTCCTTGACACCTTTCCAGTTGCTCTCCATGGTAGTCCCCTCTCCATTGAGTAGGTCATGAAAGGCCTCGAACCTGTTGCTGAGGGCTATGTTGAATTTGTTGAGTTTGTCAGCATCTCGAAGAAAGGCCGTATTAAACTTTTGTGATGTTGTCCGCACAGTTGTCCAGTGCTTCTTGAGTTTTAGTTTCATCTTGGTGACCAGCAAATGATGATCGGATGCTATATCAGCTCCTCTTCTGGTTCTCACATCCTCCATCGCCCTCCTGAACTTTTTGTTGATGCACATATGGTCGATTTGATTCTGTGTAGTGTGATCCGGTGAAATCCAAGTGGCTTTGTGTATGTTTTTGTGTGAGAATATGGTGCCACCTATGACCAGTTTATTGAAGGCATATAGGTTTGCAAATCTCACCATTTTCGTTCCTTCCTCCCAGTCCATGTTGTCCCATGACGTCTTTATATCCAGTGTTGTCCATTCCAACCTTAGCATTGAGATCTCCCATCAGAATTGTCAGGTCCTTGGTTGGGCACTTCTCGACGATCGACTGCAATCTGTCGTAGAATTGGTCTTTAGCGTCTTCATCGTAGTCATTGGTAGGCGCATAGCATTGGATGACGTTCAATGTAATGCCCTCTCTCTTTGTTCTGAAGGAGGCTTTGATGATCCTTGGTCCATGAGATTCCCATCCTATAAGTGCATTTTGTGCTTTTCTGGACAGCATCAATGCAACTCCTTGTGTATGTGGGGCATTTTCTTCTTCATGACCGGAGTATAACAGAAGTTCTCCTGAAGACAGTCGTTGTTGTCCAACCTGCGTCCAATGTGTTTCGCTGATTCCAAGAACCTCCAGGTTGTATTTTCTCATTTCTGCAGCAATTTGGAAAACTCTTCCGGTCTCCCACATTGTTCGGACATTCCATGTACCTATAAAAATTGTCGCTCTGGTTGTAAGAAGGTGCATCGGCCTCATGACTTCCGAAGGAGCTCGGCTTTCATCATGAGACGTCATAATTATTCCTTCTACTCCCAGGGCATAGTTTGAAAGGTTTGAATGATTTTTTCTGGTTAGCGTTTTTTTAGCGAGTTGATTTTCTACGGGATGGGGTCGCTAACCCCATGCCCAACCCTCCTCCTTTACCCGGGCTTGGGACCGGCAGTAACCCCCAGATGAGCTACAGGCGGAGTTAGAGATTCATTATAGATACACAGTAAATATGTATTTTACTGTAATGGTTATTTACAAATGTTTGTTACCCCGGAATTTCAATAAATTAACAGGGTAGAAATTGTTTCCAACGCCCAGTATCACCGTTTGTTAAACGAATCTGCATAACAATTCTTAAAATTGTCTTATGCAGTCCTGACTGTCTAATCGACCAGCATTTGATTTGATTGGTCTTTTTTCTACGTACAATCTAGTTGTTTGAACTCAAGTTATGGTTTGTTAATTTGATTTTATTGATGCTACCATACCGTTTGTAGTAAATAAAACATTAAGTCAATGTTGTGTATGTACTATAAGCAGAGATGGATGGTGGCTAGCTATGGAATCCAGGATGTGCATTTCGTTCTATTTGGGACTAGGCAGTATGATGTACCTTTATCCCAGAGTTGATGTCCACTCCGGGACTAGGATGAAACATGCATCCTGGATTTCACTGCTAGTAACTATCCATATCTGATTAGAATGCTTTTGAGTTAAGGCAATTTCGAGGCAGTCCGCACTAGATGCACATATGCCAGTATGAGACGGATCAATTGCAGTCCTAAACATCAATGGGGAGATTCAAACAAGCAAGCAATACAAAATGAGCTGTATATGTACATCTGTCATGGGGAATCTGAAGGTCATAACAATAACAACAATAAAGTTCGATGCTATCGGTTTCTCAATTTCTGAGTTAAGTATAAAAATAACACAAAACCATGATCATTTGCATCATAGTGTACAGTTACTAATTAGTTACAAGAGATTAATAATAATGCCATATTTATTTAGTATAATAAATGTAACTTTAGGCACCGAAATTTCTTTACGACTTAAAAAGTATTAAATAATCAGTTGATCCAAAAAATGGTTTAACAATAAACGTAATTAAATTTACGTTACTTTTGAAGATTGATTCATTTCTAGTTATCTAGATAAAAATACCCTAGTTTATTTGTTTAAAAATCTTTTTCACCGGATACACTTAATGTTTCACTGACTTACGTGACTAATAGTACAATGGAAGATATACTATGCATATGTACGTAAAAATTGTAGTTAAAAATCTTGTCATTTGAGGTTCTGCTTTAAATTAAAAATGGTGACGAAAATATTTCTTTTACGTTAACGACTAGACAAGTAAGTCTTTGTGTAAAAAAATTATTTAAAGACATTCAGTAAATGAACTTGTTAGAATGTCTGTCTCAATGTACTTTCTCTTTCTATTATTTTATGCCTTAACTGATTTTCAAAAGATACATTAATAATATCTCAAGTAAAATAATGATTTTTTGCAAATCACCATATTTGTTCCTTTGTCATGTTTCAAATTAGTACAACATATATTGATAATAATATTAATGTATGGCGCAGCAACAGTTGTCTACGCAAGATACTTCGGATCCAATGGCCAGACACTATCAGCAACAAGTTACTGTGGGAGAGAACAAACCAGATTCCATCCAGAGGAGGAAGAAATCAGTAAGAAGCGCTGGAAGTGGATAGAACACATATTGAGGAAATTACTTAACTGCGTCACAAGACAAGCCCTCACATGGAATCCTGATGACCAAATAACACGTTACGCCGAGAAATGGAGACAGACATGAGAATAATGAACAAAAGTTGGATAGAACTAGAAACTACAACCTTATTTCTGACTCATGAGACTATGAAGTGAACGATTATAAAGTGACTTACATGTTTTAGTTTAAAATATGTATGTGACGCGTGTAAAATTAAATAATTTACGATGGATCTTAGTGCGAATGTAGTGAGATAGTTAAAATCCTTAAGTAAAAATAATGAAAGGTATAGGAGAAATTACATTAAATGAAGTGATGTCAAAAACAATTATGAATGAAATCATGTGAAAATAAGAAATAATTAAAGAGATTGGGACATTTTCAAATGCACAATCAATGAAATTAAATGATAATTGTTCAAGATCACAGTACAGAAAATGATAAAATTTCCTTCTCCTGTACTCAAAATTCATCCTTTATTTCATGAATAGCACACAAGAGCAAGTGAACTGGCAGATGTACGTATATAGGCGACCAGACGAAGGAGATAACTTTTAGCGGATGCGGAAGTTACATAAACGTTAATTGTTATTTACATCATGTATTCTAGTATTATAGTCTTCCCACCTCATCGTCGTGTTAATTCACTGTGCATAATACTTCATAAAATTAATACTTAGGATTTCATATATATGCCAACATTAAAGGAAATGACTTGAAGTCCATTTTACTATCTTATTCACATTCACTTCTTACACCATCTTACTCTGGTCTTAATGGTCCATCTTTCTTTTACGTTTTCTTCTCAGTTTCCCTTACCTACCGTATTCCAAAGATCATCGTCGCTGAATATGTTAAGTAGTAGCTTAGCTACTAAATTAACATGGACAGATGTAATCGACAATCATAACTAATAAATTAATCTGGACTATCCCTACAGCAACATTTTGATCCAGACCCCAACGATTAAAAAAGATAAGAAAATATAAAAGTTTTGTTGTAACCCTAGCTAACAGAGCACGATGTAGAATTTTGGTGGGCGGTCTATGTCCTTCCACCAGGGGTAAGAGGCATAAGTTAGTAAGCTAACATTGATGAAGTGAAAAGTGTGTAAATATTTGTGACAACCTTTGGAGTTTTAACTTGGAGACTACATTTTAAAGAAATTAAATTAAGTATTCTGAATAGTTTATTTTACTAACTGATCATAACAGATTTCCTAGCAGAATCGATATTTCATTTTAGATGATTAAGTAGCCTGATTCTATGAAAGGGATTTAATCTTCACATTATAGTGAACGAAAACATAAGTGAGAACATTCGAATGTATTTGAACACAAATTACGGAACCTCTTATTGAAATCTGAGAACCATACAGTGAATACTTCATTTGCAAAATATCAGTCAATCGTCTCAGACTTCATTGTTTTTTCGTTTCCACACCAACCATTCTTTGTTCTAGTTCCCTTTTCTTCGATCATCCTAACCTTATGCCGTCATGTATTTCACTTTCAACTGATGATACATACTGCTTATACCTATCGACGTCAGTAGCACACACCACAACATTAAAGAAGCAGAGTAATTGACACATGTTAAAAGTAGATATAAGAATGTGGAGGAAATCAATAAATGAATTGTTATACAAATCCTTTTTTTAAATCTAAAAATTAAATTAATTTAAATATATATTCGTTAAGTTGTAAAACAGTTTATTCATCGAAAGATTCCTTCTAAACAATTCTATTTTCAATACTGTATGGTTGTACAAATTATCTCTACTTTCATATAAATTATATCTGAGTTTGCTTTAGTTTGAAATTTCAGGAGAGGTTATGCTTGCTACTTATGTTGACAGATGTAAGTAGTATGTAACAGCAAACATAAGTGGAATACTTATCAAAAAGAAGATTGAGAAGACTGAACTGAGGAGAACAGAAAGGAATTAAGAATTGGAGGAATCGTGAGGGATGTAAAGAACAACTGATGGAAGATCAGCAAATGAATTATTTAATGTATGGTTTACACAATTTATGAAGACACTCTATAATTTTGTACTAAACAATAAATTGATTGACCTCACTAAGTCTCCGCTCACTATACACTGACGATAGATTAAATGCTAGAACAAAACGTCTATTGAATAATTCTTGATTTTCAACAATTCTTAAGGTAATGTCAAATTGCAAAAAGATCACTTTAAAATTTCATTACTAGTTATCTTAAGTGATTTATTCATTTTACTTACTTACGCCTGTTACTCCCAATGGGGAATAGGCCACCGACCAGCATTCTCTAACATACTCTGTCCTGGGCCTTCCTTTCCATTTCTATCCAACTTTTTTTTCATTCTTCTCATGTCTGTCTCCATTTCTCGGCGTAATGTGTTCTTTGGTCTTCCTCTTCTTCTTTGGCCTTCAGGACACCATGTGAGGGCTTGTCTTGAGACGTAGTTGGGTGCTTTCCTTAATGCGTGTCCCATCCACTTCCAGCGTTTCTTACTGATTTTTTCCTCCTCTGGATGGAATCTGGTTTGTTCTCTCCTACAGTAGAATGTTGCTGATAGTGTCTGGTCAACGGAATCGAAGTATCTCGCGTAAAAAACTGTTAATAAACACTTGTATCTTCTGTATGAAGGCTTTCGTAGTTCTCCACGTCTCTGTCCCATACAGTAGAACTGTTTTGACATTTGTATTTAGAATTCTGATCTTGATGTTGATTGACAGTTGTTTTGAGTTCCAGATGTTCTTCAGTTGTAAATATGCTGCTCTTGCTTTGCCGATCCACGTCTTCACATCTGCATCAGATCCACCGTGCGGTTTATTCATGACGTTAATCATTCAGTTAAACCAATAATTTTTAAGGTCATTGTCAACATATCTTGCTACCTAGTTGTTTTTTTTCTAAATTTTGATGATAATATGATTTTCATTGATTAGTGAATTGTGTTTTTTGCAACAAACAAAATGTTATTTAAAGAAGCATTAAAATGTTTTCTTAAAACTGATACTATAAATTTATCAAATTATTAGCTATCCTGATAAGATTTTTGGCTACTTCTATATTTGTATAAATTTCAACTTTTGATTTTTTTTAATCTTCCTTTTTTTAGAAATCTTAGCCAATCAGTAGTACTTCATATAATTTATCTATAAAAGCTTAACTTTTGTTTCCATCCAATCAGAACTTAGCTTTTTTGAACCTCTATGACCTCTAGTACCTTGGTAACCAGTTAAACGAAACAGCGCAAATATCAAAGTTAATCAACTATTTATTTACTGATATTAATCTGTTTAAATTCTGAATTAAATAAATCACTTTTTTCAAAAGAAAAAAGCAAACATTAATGATGGCAAATGTATCATTAAGACTTTACATTGAAACTGACGATACTGACTATCCAGGACTGAAGAGATTAAAATTACAAGGAAAAGATTTAGAAAATGTACCAGCTGAATTATTCATGTTAAGAGAATTACAAGTATTAGATATGAGTCCAGAAAGACAACCATCATTAACATATAAATTGTTAGAACTTCCCTCAGATATTGGTGAGTAAAAATATAAGAGGTCAAGATGTATCCTGTTTTAATGAAGATTTTTGCCAAGAAATTTTATTGTGTACTTTTTCATATTCATTTATGTGTATAAATTTGTATTGCTAAAGCATTATTCATATTTAAACTGATAAATGATCAATTAGATTTGCTTTTTCTGAAAACTCTGTAATATTTAGAAGTAAATTAGTCACATTTCCATGCGGAATAACCGTGAATTTCAAGAATATTCTATTTTTGTTATCTTTCTTCGTATCGACAGGTATTTGGAAATTTCGATTTCAGCTTAGAAGATTCGAACCCATTGCACGCAGCGTCTCAGTCATGGTTGTACCCAATGAGTCGCTTGGATTTTAACTCATTTTCAACATGGTTTTTAAGGTCCCGAGTTTCGAAGCTTTACACTGTCCAACTTTGATCGTACAATAATAAATAAAAAGAAAACCTCGATATCAAAGCACGTAGCTCATAAGCTTAATCGGTAAAAGTTAGTCAACATCAACGATCAGGAAGCAAATGATTTCTGAACTTGGAAAAAATATAGTAGCTTTTTGGTAATTAACCTGTCTTCTGGGCATATGATATATTTCGTTATAATGACTCACTTTTTGTCATTCTGTTAACTAACCTCAGTTATAGGACTCCTCAGCAGTGTCCACTCACCCCAATATTAGGGAATGAACTCTGGACCTTTGGTTTCGAATGAGAGCACATAACTCATTGACCACTGATCTGGAATCCAATAGTAAATATATTTAACTCCAATCAATCCGTGATATTGTGTGATCGTCTTCTAGTGATTTCTAGTTATTTAGTTAGTTATTTAACTAAGAACAGTCCGTTATGTAATCTATGAAAGTTTATAATCTTCTTTAAACTCCATATTATTTCTGACTGTTGACTTAACTAGTAGGAAGTGTAAAAACTCTCAGGAAGTATTGGCTGTCTATATTATGCTGTGAAAATAGTTTCCATCATAAACGACTATTTACCAATTAATGATTAACACATACAACAAATATCAGAAGCATGTTTATCGAATTTTTTAAATGTTTATTAGTTCTTATCAAATTATTAGTATAGGGTTGTGGAGATTGATGAGTTTTAATTGAGATCATGAACCAGTGCTTTCAGGTTTTCAGTGGTGGTCTGACACTGAACGGTTGATAATCTCGATTAAAACTCTGATCAAATTACCCAACATAACAAACAAACGAAAACACTCAACCTATTAGATCATAAATGTAATTTTCAAATCATTACAATAACTTCTAATTTGCGTTATTCTTCATTTTGGTAATAATTATGTTGTTCTCTTTAGCACAGCAGGATCTAAAACACTGATATCATAAATAATCCTTCTGACAGATTAATAGCCAACTTACAATAGCATTAAATTAACTGATAATTAAGTTGTGATGTGGTGTTCCAGTCATTTAAGATTGATAAATCCTTATCTGATGAAGCCGGTGTGGCTTTCCTGGATTTTTATTCTGTGTTTTAAGGGCTCACAAACCCACCGCGTGTATATGATTGCAGGGGGAAACTGATATCTACTGGGCAAGCACAGTCTGCATGAATACCAGTAACACATAAGTTTTCACCCTTGCATCCCATAACATACATATAGACATATCCACTCGCCTGATAGGTAGATGGTCACCGCTACATTCGAACGGATTTTTACTGACTGATTCTTACGCATTACGTGCTTACTACGATACATACATGACCATAAACACTCTCTCAGTGAGGGTTTGTGGTCAACTCTCTCTAATTTTTACCACCATGTCTTTTTATTTTATCTTTGACCTGAAGAATTAGGCAGCTGATTTTATTAGACATGGAGCAGACATTTCTTAGCTTAGATTCGTTATACTAAATCACGCGCAAACCTTCGGCATTAACTACCTACATAAACTACACAAGCCGAGAATCATGCAATTCATGTACACAAGCATACACATCGGGTAGCCCGTCACGATTTTTAAAGCCTCAAAGAGTAAACTCCGAGTAGTCCAAGTACAGCATAGGAGTGGCGGATTAGTCGGACCTCTGCCAACTGCCTAAATTATCTATTAAGTTTGCCCTCACTACCCAGCAGCACCAGGCGGAGCCTTTGTTTCAGTTTTACTGACATAATCAAATTGTACTTTGCAATATTTACGTTTTAGGAAAATATATTCCGTTTTTATAATGAGTCAAATAAAAAATTACTATTAAACTAGAATGTTGACAGTTAAAAAAACATTTCCACATAATGAAATTTGAAATTACAGTCACACAGGTTACTAAATCCTCTTAAACTCTGTCGATACATAAACTAATTCAGACAAAGATTTTAATCTTTATCCATCTATTTGAGTTATATGTCTAAAAATATGAAATAAATATAGGGACAGACGGCTCTAAATTTAAAAACGGTCATGAACCTCGATATCCAATTAATAAATAATCAGTAATTTAGGAAAAAGTCCAAATCCATGGAACTCGATTACAACTACAGTTTCAATAAAATTATCCATTGGCATAAACATATTTATCATACAAAGGCTTAGTATTATCTTAAAAAGCTTGATGATCACAATGGGTAGAAAAAGATAATCAGTTGCCTTAGTACTGAAGATGCCGCTTAATACTGAATCAAATTCTGAAACTTAGTGACGATTGTCGCCAACCCTTTACTGTTGAAGGATTTCAAAGTGAATAAAAATGGATTTTAACAAAATAGTGACTTTCCTATCCTTAATATTTTTATTTAAAAACTACTCAATACAAATTAACTACTGTTAGTAGTATGAAGAATGGTTACATTAAAATAGCATGGAACTTTTTGTTGAATTGTTAAAACCATAAGTGACTGGATAGAAACACGTCTATTTATTGTGATTGTATGTTAAAAAAGGAAAATCATTACAATAGTTTGTTAAGAATTATGTATGCGTAAGGTTAAGAAAGTCTCGTTTTAAGAAACAATACTGACAAGAAATCTTTCGTAGACTAACGTAGCTTGTTTATTTCTATTTGGATGCAGCTAATGTAAGTAAAAGATACTCTGTTCAAATTCAACACTTTTATACATTCACTTGTAAAATTTAACTTCTCTCCCAGTATTTGATACGTAGGCTGAACGAACAGACTAAGTCACGCTCAGTTTTTTAAACACTGTCCAGCACGGGTAAGATTGATTAGATATATTGAAAGCTCATTATTACTTCATTTAGTGAGTATTGAATAGACATTTATCATTCAACCCCATGTACAAAGTCCTGGAGAAGCTTTCAAGTCTTATTAGCAACCATTTACCAAACAGAATAGGTGCAATCTCTACATTATACAGCCAAAATTAGCTTGCCACATTTCACTTTGACGTCTTTTATCTACCACTAAGTTTAAAATAGTTAGCCCCTTTGATAAATTTGGATAATGCGATGAAAAAACCAAAGTTATCAGAATTATTTGATATATTTGTGGAATGCATTTCGAACTATCTGATCACACATAAGGTCGATATAAAGTCAGCCTTTATAGTTTTGTACAAAAGTTTTTAAGGGCGTATACTAATGTTTTTTAAAGCCTTGGCTATGCGAAAACTAGAAACCTCGTTTTTGCGTTCAAAAACAATTTGTTCTTACCTTTAATCTACCCTGTTAATACTGATTTACTATTCACATTGTGTACTGTATTATTATCTTTGCTCCCCCTTACATTTTAATTTGTTTAGTTGACCTTTTATATTTTATATACCTCTTACCATGAATATATGTGGTCAGATGGGTAGAAACGTACTACGCCAATATGCAACTAAGTCGCAATAATGGTCGATCTCTTTCCAGTCATACTGAATAACATTAAATATTCTCCATCTATATAGTTCTACTAACTTTAGTATTATTAGTCTTTAATCTAATTTAAGAGTATGTACTAGCCTTATTTAGTATACCTTGAATATTTTGTTCAACTCTAGACAGTTGTTAAGTAATATAAACTATTTTTTGAATTCTCTATATTTTTGTCTTATTTCATGTAGTCTTGAGATGTTTCTCTGTTTGTTTGTCATGTGGCTTACATATGAACAGTTTTCCTGTCAGCTTTGAATTTGGTCTGCAACTTGATGGTGTCTGACACAAAGTCTTTCACAAAATTTTATATTTCGCTTTCTGATATAATTTTATTGATTGTAGTTTATCTAAAATGGATTTAACTTTGAAAGATGTTTGAAGTCAGTTGGAATTTTGTACATTTGGAATTAAACTGTACTAACTAAGGAGAATTCCCTACAAGTAATTTACATGATTAACAGTCTATCAATTATTCAATTAATGATAATCAACATAACAAATTAATGAATGAAATCATAATTGTAGTAACCCAATTATTTTCAATACATTTATAATATATTATTTCGATCTATTAATTGTGACTTATCGGGACTAACTGATTAACTTTTATGAGGTCATTTCAATCAACTAATAAGACTACACACATTGAATAAACGTAAATGTTTATAGTTATACATCAATGAATATCGAATCGATAAAGATAATCCGAATAGTTTGAAGTCTAGTCGGGTCAAAACATTCAAGAATTTGAACTACATAGTAGAATTATTCGAATAATTTGATTTATTGACAAAACCTAGCTTTTTTTTTGTTTGCTGTTCTCTTCATTGAAGCTGATAATGATATTGATGTTCTTGAAAGATTTCTCAAATCTGTTAATAGAATATTGTGCATAAGTCCAGACACATGAATTTAGAGATAGTGAAGCTGATACCTTATTTAGTGCTATCATCATAAGACATCAGCTTCAGGATTTTAAGTAGAGATGGATGATAGTTAGTAGTGGAATCCAGGATACACGTTTCATCCTATTTGGAACTCATCATCTAGGTGTACCTCCATCCCAGATTTGATGTTCACTCAGAGAATCGAACTCAGTACCTTTGATTTCAAACGTAATCGCCTTATCCATTTAGATACTGAGTTCAAATA